TTTGTTTATTTTGTTAATGATATCTTTAGTTCTCTAATTTTGGTGAATATTTTTGTTATTTTTGGTAAAAAGTGATATTTTCGACTTCTTGTTAAAAACCGCAAGTCCAATTGCTTTGATATTACATATATAGGTACTACATGTAGACCACTCTCAAATTTGTTCATTTTGTAATGATATCGTCAATTCTCTAATTTTGGTGAATATTTTTTGTCATTTTTAGTAAAAAGTGATATTTTCGACTTCTTGTTAAAAACCGCAAGTCCAATTACTTTGATATTACATATATAGGTACTACATGTGGATCTCTCTCAGATTTGTTCATTTTGTAATGATATCTTTAGTTCTCTAATTTTGGTGAATATTTTTGTCATTTTTGGTAAAAAGTGATATTTTCGACTTCTTGTTAAAAACCGCAAGTCCAATTGCTTTGATATTACATATATAGGTACTACATGGGGACCTCTCTCAGATTTGTTTATTTTGTTAATGATATCTTTAGTTCTCTAATTTTGGTGAATATTTTTGTTATTTTTGGTAAAAAGTGATATTTTCGACTTCTTGTTAAAAACCGCAAGTCCAATTGCTTTGATATTACATATATAGGTACTACATGTAGACCACTCTCAAATTTGTTCATTTTGTAATGATATCGTCAATTCTCTAATTTTGGTGAATATTTTTTGTCATTTTTAGTAAAAAGTGATATTTTCGACTTCTTGTTAAAAACCGCAAGTCCAATTGCTTTGATATTACATATATAGGTACTACATGTGGACCTCTCTCTGATTTGTCCATTTTGTAATGATATCTTTAATTCTCCAATTTTGGTGAATATTTTTGTCATTTTTGGTAAAAAGTGATATTTTCTTCTTGTTAAAAACCACAATCATTTATGGTGAAAAATGATATTTTTGAATTTTTGTTGAAAACAGCAAGTCCCATTGCATTGATACCATGCATATTGTTCATTTTCTAATGATATCTTCTGTTCTATAATTGAAATGTGCATTGCAAACAGCGGAGCTATCTCAGCCGAGAGGCTGCTTGTGTGGGTTTCCCAAGCAAGTCTGCCGGTCTTGTCTAATCGTTTAAGCATGATGTTTTGGGGTTACAGTAATTTTAACCTATATGAGATACAACGCTTGAAATAACCACAGCACAGTGCAGCCTTCCACATTCGTCTAACATCGCTACATTGTTTGTACAACTATTAATGCTAAGTACCGGGTAGATATCTGCAAAATGTTATCTGTACCCTCTCGATTTCCGAATTTACGTACCCCAATATTGCTACCATAAGAAATAGTTGGCACAATGATTGCATCAAACAAATTAAATGCACTAACCAATGGCATTCTACCAATTTCTTTACAGTATGTAAATATATTTGGTTCACTGTAAATCTTTTTTAGAAGGCCGTAAAATAATATGTATACAGTGGCAGTTTAGCAGCGGTCTCAATAGACTTCAATAACTACAACTCCTTTTATGAACCCACTAAAAATATAGTAAATTTTCTGAGACATCAAAAAAAACGTGTAAAAAAATATGTTTGCAATTTATGATTCATCGCATAGGTTCAGTGCTGAAGCAACACTGTGGGGTAAATTGTTGGCTGCAAAAAGCTCTTCGACCTATACAACTCGTGATGATAAATCTTCGGCATTTTTTTAAGGATATGTTAAACCCGTAGCTGTACACTATTGTCCAATAACACAGGCTACACGTACTAATACAATAAGTTGACTACATTTGGCTGATACACTTAGAACAAAACAGTATATATATATATATTGACTAATACAAAACTAATGAACCAAACTAGGAAAGTACAGTATGGTGTTGTCGTGTCAATCCCGTTCGATCCCCACACTTTACTAACTGAGCGAACATTAGCACAAGACTAACTGCCCTATTCAGGACCACCACATCATTCAGAGAGTGACTACCATTACATTATTGTCTCAATGTTGTTTTGATATTTAACATCAGGTGCTTGAACGCGATCTTCATTACACCATCGTGATAAAACCGAATAAAAGCTTGGCTATTTATAACAACCTGTTTTGGTTGGCTGCTGTTGAGCTGAAACGGCATAACTTCACGATTGACATTTAAAGCTCGTTGCCACCTAAATGCTATGCATTACTCATTACATTACTCTGATGGTTACCTCACGGAGTCAAGTAATTTAAACAACGATAATTATTTTAATTAATATTGTTTGTTTTATTATGTTCTAATCTACGATCATAAATCTATTCACTTCCAAAATTTAGGGGGTTCGACCGAATCCCCCGAACCACCCCAGACTACGGGCCTGAGGACCCTATCCAAACTACGTATAAGTCTGACCATTGCTAGTGTATTTGCAGTAAGAAACTACATAGTAAAGGAGATCCGGAATCTTGTAATATATTACTGTTGATGGGTTCAGAGGTGGCGTTTTTTGAAGAGAGATTGCGTGGTTGCAGAACACTGCATAGAATTACGTGAATTGCTAGATGTCAGTGTCTAGAAATTACAATAGTACACAATTATCGTTTTTTTGCTTGCATATATTACTGCACGTTATACATTGAGATTAATACATTATATGCAATATTAATTAAAGAACACATTTGTTAGTATATTTCTTGCAAAATTATGCTCAGATACATGTGTGTTGATGTACTATAATTCATATTTATGTACAATTTATGTTACGTAATTTTTAGTACAAATATAGTATTATTTGAGGAACATGAATATTATATTTTTAGCTCCGCTGATGACCTAAAGGTTATCATATTATTGATTGTCTGTTGTACTTTTTACTTTTCCAAAACATATACGATTACTTTGCGAAAGATACTTTGCAGGTATGCTAGAAGGATGCAGCTTTAAGGCATGTTATCAATCTCTCGAGCAGTGACCAAAATCCACACGTTATGCAGAAATAACTACATCTACATTCACATCCACAAACAAAACAAACATTGTGATGATCGTAGATTTTCATCACAGCTGAGCAATAATTACAACACGTGAGGATATTGTAGTATTTGCTGTCTACAACATATTGTCGTTAGTTGTGTTTTATCTTATTTATGATCTGGCATGAAGCAATCAAATACTGAAAACTATACGATTCTTGGATTGTTCAAAGTACACACGCTCTGATCACTCAAGCAGTAAAAAAGGGGGAATCAAAACATGGAATAAAAAACATGTCAGATTGTGCCATTCACACCACTTTGCCGAGTGTTGTAATTTAATTTTCATTATTTGAAATATTGTGTAATCCAATGCATCTATATGTGTAGACAATGCGTGAAATGGAACTATCAAATATTTCAAATATACATTCATATCAGCAAGAGGGTTTCCATTCATTCAGTTATTCATCAAATAAATCATTTATTATATGTAATATTCGATCACTGTTTAATTGTTTGTTCGCTTATTTATTTATTAATTTATTTGTTTGTTTTCATATATTATCGTAGTTCCATCACATCCTCTACTAGTTACTACTCAAGAGGATATAAACAATAAAATCTGTACAATTTGTTGGACCGAGCCATCTTCACCAAATGGCGTATTGATTTATTATAGATTAAGTTGAAAAGAATTCCACAGTGAACATTATATTGTTACCGGTATATAGAATTGTTAATTCACTTCTGGTGATCCTCTTGTCCAGAACCCAGACTATTACTACAATATTATATATTCGTAGGTTAATTATTCAGTACATGCATTAATCCCATATGAAGGATTTGATGGACACGTCGGTATGGAAGATTCAAAAGGTTCATGGTTGGTATATGACAACACATGCTATGAATACCAAGAACTTCAAACATACTCAAAGTATGTCATAAGTGTACAAGCTGCCACATATGCTGGAGAAAGTGAAGCCAGTCAGCCACCAGTCTACTGTCAAAACAGTTTCATCATCAATTTTCTGAAAGAAACGGACCAATCAGGTATATACAATTATTGTAATTCACTTCAACAATGTCAGAAACGCCACAATATATCAACAATAATGCAACCAAAGACTAATTGTGTTTCTTTACTGTGAGTAATTAAAATTAAATGTACTACTAGCTTTGTATCTTTCATCCCACAAAGCTATAATAATTATCACTAGGATTAATTTAATACTCGTACGTTGTTAATATATTATATTTACAGCTGTTATGAGATTATTGTTATACGCATACCAATCAGCAAAGAAACTGGATCATTGCTGTTTGACACATCAGTTTCTCCTGATAGTATATATGGATCCACAGAGTTGAACAAGTATGAGGATGTTAATGGTATTCCAGGACAAGCATATGTGGCAGTAAGGATGACAAGGTTGGTATATGCTATATTATGATTATATAGACGCTACCACTACAGTACAGCTGTGGCATTTTTTTCGGCTTCGCTGCTTTGTCAGATTGTTTTTACTACCCCTTAGCTTCACATAAGCTTTAAATCAGTTTTACCACATTTTTCAAATTAAATTATTTTAATAAACTACATAAACCCGACCTTGGTTCATCTGCCTAGGTGATTTTGACATTTTCCCACCAGTTTGTGTGAAAATAACACAAAGCTCTGGCTTATCAAACAAGCTAGGAAACTTATATATTATATTACTACAAAGATAGAAGAAATTAATAATGGTAAATCAATGTCGTCTCTCTTGTCATATAATCTAGTAGCAGGGTTGCCCTTGGAGTCAAATTCAAGAAGGACATCAAGATATGAAGCAAAATAACGCAATTCCTCGGTTCATTTCGAGCTTAGATGATATAATATTAGAAAGAAAATTATTCATGGTAAAATTGTTGTTGGAAAGTACATCATCAATATGCCTCGCAGTTATATTAAATAATTTTGGAAGTGGAAAGTGGAATTCTGCAATATCCACAGCCTGTACTCCATTGTCTGTTCGATATTTGACCCATAGCAATGCGGGTCACTATGGGTATAATGGGTTAAAATAATACCGCTAATTGTTGGCCCACATGCCATTATCTTTTGAAGATCAGCATGTTGCACAATATTCAGATGACCTGAGATAATATAGTCAATGGTGGAATAGTTGAATATAGAAGACGAGCACAAGATGTCAATATTTTTATAATAGCGTGTCTTGTTTTTAGCTCCGCTGTACTAGTAAATACGGAGCTATTCCTATAGGTGGTGGTGGTGGTGGTCGTCGTCTGTCACCCGTCTGTCTATCAGTTGTTCATCCACAATTTCATTTCCGACTTCTTCTTAGAACCCTGCCCAATTACTTTGATATATCATATGTAGGTACCATGGCTATCAGATCTGTTTACTTTCTTTAACTAAAACATTTTTTTGGCTAATATTATTTGTTAATTTTTGGTAAAACATTTTATTGAAAACTATCAGTTCATTTGCTTTAATACTTGGTATGTAGGTAGCTTAGGTGAACCTTTGTCCGATTTGTGTATTGCATGATGTTATTTTCAATTCTCCAAATATTTTAAATTTGTTATTTTCAATAAAAAATGTTATTGTTGACTTCTTTAAAATCGCTTGTCCAATTGCTTTTATACTTGATGTATGTGTACCATGGGTGGTCTATCCGATTTGTTCATTTCATGGCAATATCTTAAAATCTCTTTTTTTGGTAAATATTTTTGTTATTTTAGGTAAGAAATCCTATTCTTGACCTCTTCTTAAAAACTGCCATCATGTATATGGGAAACTGCTGAATGTCACATACATATTTCTGCATATAGCATGTAGTGTGTTTTATTCCAAGCAAAAGTTTCCCATTCCCCAACATTCAATGTCACTGTCTCGTTTGACTATTTTAAACTCCTGTTCCAGAAACAGTTTCCAAGAAGAAGTACTTATTGGTGATGGTAAATTGACAGAGTGTACCCAGAATTCCAATCTAACTGTAAAACGAGACATTGCTCAGTATTCATATGAAAGAGAGGTTTATAATGGAGAATTGGAACCTGAAACATGGTATACAGTTTTTGTTCGAGCTTATGTTGATATTCCAAGTGTGGATGGACAGGTAAAAATGTGCTTTTAATAATAATTATTAAACGTCTGTCACTGTAACGCCATATATTTCACCTTGTCGTATTTCTGTGGTATTGCACTGGGTATTTTCATTCTACCATATTAGTAAAAGGGGAATTCATAATATGGACTAATAAAAACAAACACTGCAGCCCCCACTGTTTGACCGAACTCTATGCAAAGAAGTTCGCTAAATCTGTTCTTAACCTTTTGTAGTTCGGCATTCCCATGATGTATCTTAGAAAAGATGTATAATAATATGGTTATTACGAGGATATCGCAAAGTATGCACTCAGACAGTATGCACTGCTGCGCGTCGGTCGATAGTCCCGCTGTACAGTCTTCAGGCATACTTTACGATATCCTCGTAATAACGTCATATAATGGCCGTCATCATCGTTGTTATTATCGTTAATCATTAGTTGACTCGTGTCATCGTATTACAGGTTTTCTTCACTTCAAGTCCATTCATGGAACCTATTCAGACAGGTAATTCATAATTGTTGTAATTTCAATGTCAATATTTTAAAACTTACAAGTATATGGCAACATTCCAAATAACATTTCATTATTCTCACATTTCAGCTACTACTGACAAACGACTTACAATTATCATTGCTGTGTGTATCGTGATTATTTTTGCTGTTATATGTGTGGTGGTTGCTATTTTCATTATAAGGTATTGATATACTATACTCTGTTTATCAGACAATCAGTGTAATAATTTTTCTTGGCATGTCACGATCAAATGAAAACAAGAAAATATTTATATTATTCCACAGCTTGCAATTTTACCACTGTGATTTTTACAGTTATTCAATGAATATATCGTACATAAACACACATCAAAGAATTTTAAAAAAGAAATACAATTATGAGATATTTCAATGATTAATGACTCACTTATTATTATTTATTTACAGGCGACGACGGAGAAAACCTAGAGGTAAACATAAATGATTAGATACATTCTTAATTATATCGTCTTTGTTTACATATCTGCATAATTGTTCACCATTGTTAATTCACATTTACATGCTAGGCAACCTTGGAGTCAACAATTTCGTTTTCATGAATATCGAAACTGTGTAATCTAGCATATTCAAATAGATACGTTTTAGCTGAAACCACAAAAATAATGAATATTATTCCATCTTTCTCATATTTGATATGACGTGTGTCGCATCATGTTTGACTGTTTTTTGACAATTTTAGAAAAACCACCTTCTGATC